TAAATTTTCTCTGGCATGTCCTTTCATCTATGTCATCAGTAACTTTTCTCAACAAACATGCATGGCTGAAAAATGTCTCATGGCTGTCTCTCAGATGTGGCTTAGGATTTGTAAATGTTCTGCTTGTTTCTTTCCTAGAAAAGAAACGATCTTCTTTCAGTTTATACTAGTTTGTAATATTTTGATATTGTGTTTTGCTTGGAAAATGAAACTGCCCTAGTAATTATACATTTTTATTAGGAAAAGAAAAAGACATGTGTGAGCAGGGGAAGAAGACAAATGTTAGGGAATCTGTGGTAGTTTACTATTCTATAGCTTTATTAGTCCAAATAAAGAGGGGACAGAGCTTGGTAATATTTCATTCAGGTGATGAAATAACATTTGCAACTTCAGACAGGTTCAAGTGTATTAACACATCTCATCATCTAAAATGATGTCCAAATCATGTACTGCTGGATCAAAAGTTTTACATATGCATTTTCATATGAGGGGTTAAACCCTTGAATTTTCTACTACTGTAATAAATGGGTAAAAGTTTGAGCTTGGGCTGAGTGCTTGAATTTTGACTTATGACTGATGACATCTGCTCTGCCTGCTCTCTGGCCTGCTGCCTTTGCCCCATGGGAATGCCTCTTCTATTTAATTTAGCTCTGTTCCCATGAGGATCCAGGTGGTGAAGATGGAAAAAGATTTAAAACGAGTAACACATGATTATTAAATACAGTTCATTTTAGGAGAGATACATTCCTAGGTGTTTAAGAACCATGATACAGAAATTAGCTTGTTTCTTACACAATTTTTGTTTTTATTATGTCATAGTCAGGAGCCTTGTTGAATTACCAACACTGAGGTTAGACCACCTCAAGTGGGCTTGGAATTTCGCTTATTTTCTTAGATTCACAAAATTTTAGATGTGAAAGTGACTTTATGTCACAATTGGATAAAACCTGCCAATCCTCTTTGGTTCACTGGGACTTGGCTTCATTGTCATTTTTTCCATAGTTACCTCCCAGAGACTGCCATTCTTACTAGATTAGTCCGACTCCATGTTCTTTACCAATCTGTTAATCAATACTTTATTCATGTGTGAATGGTTATCATTTACTCCTATGTGCATCTTTCTCTTTGGACTGTAAGCATTGTAAGGACAAGAAGTTATATCTTGTACCGTCTTTTTCCAAATGCCTAGCTCAGAGCTTGGTAAGCAAGCACTTAGTGAAGATAGCATCTTTAGAGTAACAAAAAAGGAATAAACACAACCAAATCTCAGTAACTGAAGATCATCTTCAGAGTTGGCAAGGGTGCATGTCTTCCTCATTCGGGGGTGGGGGGTGTAGGCTGAAAAAGCCTCCACAAACTTGTTTAGAAGCTGATCATCTACAGGAGGATTGGAGATGGTGAACCATGCTCAGCTCCTGATGCTTCAGCTAGAAATTGACAGGTCTCCTTCTTTCAAGTTTGATTGAAAGAAGAATGTAGTCACACATACCCTCATGGGGATGAGGAAGAGCCACCCTCCATGTTCTTGAAAAAAGGCTAACTGGAACATCAGTGACTAACACTAATGAATGATCACTCATAAATGTCTGATATGCTGTATGCATTTAATACCTATTTAATGAATAAAATACCCAGATCTATTTGTTAAGAATTTTGGGTTTTTTTTTCCTGTGCAATAAACAGAACCACTTCAAATAAGAAAATATCCTAGTAATTAAATTTTTAAAAATGAACATACTAGTATTATTGTCTAAGCTATGTTCAGCAAACATCTGAAGATTTTTTTTTTTTTGGTAACCATTCTGTTACTTTTATTCACATCAAGGATGGTATTATATTTGATATTTTAGGTTTTCAGATGCATAAAGTATGAAATGGATAAATATGTGTAATTAACATTTTTATCAGAATGTTTTAGCAGAGTAAGAAAAATGTTGCAGTCTTCAAACACTACATATTAAGTTAGTCTGGGGCTGGGGATGTGGCTCAAGCGGTAATGCGCTCACCTGGCATGCATGGGGTGCATGGGGCGCTGGGTTCGATCCTCAGCACCACATAAAAATAAAAAAATAAAGATGTTGTGTCCACCAAAATCTGAAAAATAAATATTTTTAAAAAATTGTCTCTCTCTTTTCTCTCTCTCTCTCTTTAGAAAAATAACTCATATATAAACTATGAAAAATAAAAATTGTAGAAGACAGATAAATTAAAAATCACTGGTAATACCACCACCTCGATAATACTACTAATTTTTGGTGTAACTTTTTCCAGTCCATTGTTACTGCTGCTGTTGTAGAATAGGCATAGGAGGAAGAGAAGAAACTGGCTTGTACCAGGGAGGCAGCAGTGGAAATCGAAAGAAGTGATCAGATTGAGAATCTGTCAGGAGTAGATGTTGATAGGGTTTGTTAGTGGATACTATGAAGAAAGAGGTGCTAGTGTTGAAGGAGATCAATAACGACTCCCAGGAATTTGGCCTGAGCACCTGTGTGTGGGTGGATGTGTTAGCTGTTCCTCACTGACCAAAATACCTGACAAAAACAGTTTAGAGGAGGATAATTTTATTTTGCGCTCACCATTTCAGAGGTTTCAGAGGCTTGGTCCATAAACATCATGTCAGAAGGATGTGGCAAAGGAAAATTGATCAACTCATCGAAGTTGCGAAGTAGAGAGAAAGAGAGAGGGAGAGGAAGAGAAAGGGGACAGTGACAGATATACTCTAAGGCCACACCTCCAATGACCCTACCTCCTCCAGCCATGCCCACTTGCCTACAGTTAGCACTCATCAAATGGATTAATCCACTGATGAGGTTATAGCCCTCATCACTGCCTAAAGCCCCACCTCTGAACCTTTAAAATGTTTGTTATATGAGTGCATTTTATACTATAAAATATTCTTCAAAATATAATTTTAAATGGTTGCATTCTTTTCACTCATATGATATATTGTTGATTATTCAACTCTTCTCCCTGTTAGGCATTGAAGGTATTTTTTGCCATTAAAATAATGAGCACTAGAAAGTCTTAGGAATCCATTAATTTCCATATTTCCTCAATATTGAAATATTTAATTTGGGAAAACTGGTCAAGACATGCTGAAATTTCAATACAGAAAACCAACTGGAGATAAATTAGTTCAGAAAAGAAGCAACTAAATCTAGGGGTCCTCTTAGTTTCAGTCCACCAAGGGAGCTGGATGAGCTATATCTCAAACTAGTATGGTGTTGCTGTCAAGGTTAAAATTGGTAGTCAGACAAATGCTGAAAGGGACATTTGTCCTGGGAACAGAGAGGGTACCAGCCTTGAGGAATGAAAGACTTGGCAAGGGCCAGATGACAAGGTTAGATGCCAGCTGGGAGACAAATCTAGAGAAGAACCTCAATTTTTTTTTTTTGACATACACTTAAAAAAAATTAGGCTTGTATGCATCCAAGCAAGACTTTGAAGTAAAGGGAAAGGGACCCAAGACAGAATCTTTTTGGTGAAGCTGCAGCTTTATGAGTAGTTGGATCATCACCAGGATGTAAGCAGCCATACTATTTCTTGGCGTTAGCCTGTGTAAGAAGCTATTCCTCACTAGGTAACCTGAATTGCCCAGGAAGTCCTTGAGGCTGAGCAAGCAGGGTGAAGTCCTTGATATGCAGCTGGGAGGGAGTGAGCCGCAATAAAATAATGGGAGGCAGTGATGGAAATAAGATAGCAATACTAGACATACTCTCTTTAACTTTCATAGAGACAATCGCATGAAACTTATCACTAACCATAAGTGACACTGCGCATATAGACCACAGATGTAATAATTTGTGTCTTTAGATCCCAGAGAGCTGGAGGACAGCCTTAACAGTGCATCTGTTCAATAGGAATGTTTAAATTGTGTTTTTCCTTTGTTGATAATTAAAGAACAATATTTTTATCAGTTAAAAATATAACCTTTTTCATTTTCAGAAATAGTTTGTACTTCAAAGACATTTTCATAGCCTAGAACTTTGGTTTCTTAATGTTATTTAAACTAGGATCCAAAACATATCCTTAAGGAAATTTTTGGAAAAGATTTTTGATTGTACAAGACAGAAGAACTCTGATCTGCACTTTGAAGAACAGATAGGTTCTGAAAGGGCCACAGAGGGAGAAAGATGTTCCTGGTGGGGGAGAGAGTTTGCTACCAAAGATGAGCTTGGTGGTGTATTGGGGACTCCAGGGAATTTGAAGAAGACAGCAGTTTCAGGTTTTTTAAATATGCTGTCCTGACCATGTAGCAGCAATTTGGGGAACATCCTTTCCCTCTGTTATCACCTGCCTCTTTCTGATGAGTACAGGAACTATAAGTCTTCTTGTTAAGAAGGAAACTCCCACAGCCCTCTTTTAAAGAGCTATCTTCTAACCCTCATGTTTTTGATCAGTGTCTAACACAAAACTTTCTTTCTCTGCCAAATGTAGATTGTTTCCTCAGGACTACTTCTGAGCACTTAATAATTTTAGCAGGGAAATCTAAAAGAAAAACCACCGCAGAGTCCTTTTAGGCATTTGCTAGGTAGGAGCAGGTTGTTCTCCAAGGACTTGAACGTCAAAGGGAAACTCTCCCACACCATTACTTGGTTAGAAATCTGCTCTCCTGGGCTGGGGTTGTGGCTCAGTGGCAGAGTGCTTGCCTAGCATGTGTGAGGCACTGGGTTCCATCCTCAGCACCTCGTATTAATAAAGAAAATAAAGGCCCGTTGAAAACTAAAGAAATATTAAAAAAAGAAATTTGCTTTCCTCAAATATCATGTCCTCTTGAGATATTTTTCTTTTTGGACAAAAAAAAATCTCTGGTCAGTGGTCCTTGGTCTTCATTTTTCTGGTGCAATTTTATTAGGTTATTAGAAAAATAGAGTTTGTGTTTTTTCATTGGGTTGGGTCATATTCCAAGACTATTTGTTCAGTGGTAGACTCACAGGGGGTTGCGTTTTGTTGTTTTGTTTTGTTACATAAAGCTTTCTCTATTTTTTTTTCCCTTACAGAATCCAGCGAGATTATGGAAGAGTGTAGCCACATGCAAAAGCAGTTGGATTTACAAAATGGTAGCACCGAGGAAGGATTTGTAGTGCAATCCCTGGACACAGATTCCCAAAATATGATGGAGAGCCTAAGCCCCAAAAAATATTCTTCCAGCCTGAAATTTAAAGCCAATGGAGACTATTCTGGTTCATATTTAACCCTCTCACAACCCGTGCCTGCTAAGAGGAGCCCTTCTCCTTTGGGCACCAATGTCAGGAGCAGCCCCTCCTTGACCAAAATCCAGGGGAGCAAGCAATTCTCTGATGAAACCGATAAGAGTATGTCCATGAAGCCTCCCACTCCCGTCCTTAGCACTACACACTCCCTCAGTGGCTATCCACTTGGAAGGGCAGATTTTGAGCATTATACTGGCCGGGACACTGAAAGGTCCTCGAGACTTTCAGAGAAACCTCCCTATTCTAAATACAGCTCTAGGAATAAATCCCATGATAATGTCTACTTTTTTGGAGGACTGGAAGGACGAAAGGCATCTGGCTCACTCCTGGCCATGTGGAATGGTGGTTCCCTGAATGACAGTGGGCCCCCTCCCATCAGCAGATCTGGGGCAGCTAGCATGCCTTCAAGCCCAAAGCAAGCCAGGAAAATGAACATTCAGGACAACCTGGCACTTCAGCCCAAGTTAACCCGACACAAGGAACCGGCGTCTGAAAATGTCAGTTTAAGAACTAGGAAGTATTCAGGCAGCAGCCTAAGCCACATGGGAGCCTACAGCAGATCGCTTCCCAGGTTGTACAAAGCCACAGAGAACCAGCTGACGCCTCTCAGCTTGCCTCCAAGAAATTCTCTCGGCAATTCCAAACGAACCAGACCCGGGGAAAAGGATCTACCTCATAGCGTGATAGACAATGACAATTACCTTAATTTTTCCTCTCTAAGCTCAGGGGCTTTGCCTTATAAAACCTCTGCTTCTGAGGGCGTTCCTTATGCAAGTTCCACCCTCAGTGTACCTGCCAGTCCTCGGGTGGCTCGGAAGATGCTTCTGGCCTCCACCTCCTCCTGTGCCTCTGATGACTTTGACAGGGCTCTATTCTCGGGGACCAGCCCAAGCCATTCATTTCCTACTGTGGAAATAGACAGAGTGTTCGCGGCCAGGAGAAACTTCTCTTGTGGCTCTGTGGACTTCGATGACACTGAGTTGGACAGCCTCAGACAGGCCTCAGGGACCCCCCAGCCTGTCCTTCGGGAAAGGAAAAGCAGCATCAGCTCCATTTCAGGACGAGATGACCTCATGGATTATCATCGGCGACAGAGGGAGGAAAGATTGAGGGAGCAGGAGATGGAGCGATTGGTAATCTTTCTATTTGCCTCACTGTTTCATTGATCAGAATCTAAAGTTAAGCCTTAGAGACGCATTCCAAGGGTGACGTAGGGATGTAGGATTGACATCACATGTACAAGCCACTGCTGTCACTTCCTAGACTCTCCCACTATCTCTACTTTTCCCAGGACGCTATTGTTAGGCATGTGTGGGTATTTTGAAGGCATGTAGGAGCCTAAATATCAATTCAGTGGCTCTTCAGAATCCTTGTAACTATACATTTGGTATAGTTACCAACAAACGGTAGTTGTGAGTTTTACCAAATTTCTTGCATCTTATAAAATTTTAAGACTGAGGAAATGCGTATTTGAATTATTTATATTGTTAGATCTGCAGGTGTATGATTATGATAGATGTAGAAGGTAGAATCATGAGTCATCAGGAATTAGGCAGTGAATTTGGCAAGGTATCTAGAACTTTGTGGCAAGTTGTCCAGAAAGTTGAAGGGTGTGTCATGGTGCTCAGCATTTCCTGCATATTATGTACCCCGTATTCTCCAGCCTTGTTTCTGAGCACACACAGTGACTCTCCATAACACATACTCACAAAATCTATTGAGTTATCCTTTTCCATTTAAAATGAATTTATACTTAAAGTGGTTAATATTGAAAATAAGAAGACTAGAGGAAATGTCCCTTGAGCATCCCACTAATCAATGAGAACAAACAATGGTATTTTTCCACTCTTTGTTAAGCATATATTTTCTTCTTAAAATAAATACATGTCAGAGATCATTTTGCTTTATTAATCATTAATGATTTCCTTAATGAGAGAAGCTATGAGATGGTAAATCTGTTTTACGAAAGTATAGGATTATTAAAGTAAGGTAAGTTCGAATCACATCCCAAACTCATTAACACTCTGAAGTACAATAAAATTGTAATCCTTGGATTATAATGGGCAGAAATGATTAACATCTATACTGGGCAAAATTTGTTGGACATTTTAGAATGAGAATCATATCTATTACTTGAAGTTCTTGATAAGTTAAGGTCTATTTTTAAGGAACTTTCAAATATCCCAACTAACAGTAGTGAATAAAACAAACATACATACCCCTAGAGAATTAGATATTCCTTAGGCCAATCAGTTATTCAGGCTCTGGCGTGATAGCTCCCATTGTAATAATAAGTAATCTCCAGAGATTATACATAGTCACAAAAGGCATTGTTTTGCAGCTTTGATTCCTTGATGTAAATTCAGAAGTTTTAATTAGCATATAAATACTTCCTTATAAATTGACAGCTGATATATACTGTGCTGATCAACTATTATTAATAAAGCCAGAAAAATAACTCCATTTGATAATTTATCAAGGAGTGAGGGAGAACGTTTTCAATGGATTCTATCACTCCAGAAATCTTCCTTAAATCTTCTTAAGTATTCTATTACAAGGACAGAAAGCAAAACTCAAGAAGTGTGTCTACACTGGGTTTTAGAATCTTTAAAAAATCTTTAGAATCTTTAAATGTTAGGGAATCTCTCCTACCTCTAGATTTTCCAAATATGCTAAGGTTCTTGACAACCCAGAGTGACCATTCTTACTGACTATAAGGTTGGGACCCTCTAAGTCATAAACAGATTTAACTTTTTGTGAGAGTTTTGTGGATATTGTTCCAAATACTAAGTTCTAATAATCCCTTTTCCTTAGTATTGGGCTTGTCATACTTGATGAAATGAGGCTTTTTTTTTTTTAAAGGTGACACTCCATGTACATATAGTTATTTGTCTTAGAAAAGAAGGACTGTTTATTATTGAGTTTGTGCCATTGAAAAGTAAAGTAATATGGCCATTGAAAAGTAAAGTGCCTCAAAGATATTTCTTCCTGAATTCTAAGGGGTCAATGAGAACAAACTACCCACTAAAAAGAATATTTCATTTAGTTTGCCAATCAGAGTCAACTAAATTAAAGGTTGGAGATAGATGAAGATGAATGCTAGAGGGTTTCCCCATTACAACAAAAGATTCAAAATAATACCAGTAATACTCCAAAACACATATCCACATTAGAAATTTGATTTCCATTAACAGTTCAAGTAGTCCTATGTAATTAATTCTTATTTAACCGCAATTTGGGCCACTGTGTTGATTTCATTAAATCATCTATTTATGAACTAAAAACAGTTCTAAAAATCTGATTTAGCTTCCTAGAACTCATTCTAGTCAAGGCCAGGTCAGCTCAGCACCTTCTCCCCACAGGTCTGTTCTCTGAAATGTCAGGAGGACTTGATAAGGTCCTATCTGTGAGGCTCTGAAACTGTCTTTGCAGAAGACACATTCTAGCCCACAATTTAGGCATAGTCTTCAGGCAAACTCCAGAGGACACTGAGACCACGTGGTGAAAGTAAGAACAAATAGCAGTGGTGAATTTATGGCTATTTAACAAATAGTATCAGCGTGGAGAGCTCAGATTCTTTATCAGGATGTAAGACTAATGTCTTGTTTAATCAATGTTTCCCCTGAATGTAAGGGCATATTACAGTGAGAACACTAATGTCTATGCAGAACATTTCTGTAACACATGTACATAATTTTGAGCACTTTTAATAAAATTAATAATAATGGCATTTTACCTGTATGGAATTATCTTAGGGAACGCTGAATGTCTCATTTTATTTCATATATGTCCCTATGTTGGACAGTTTAAAACTATTGTAAACAAATTTAATCATTTATAGCAGCTTTCCTTTTGTAAGTTAAAAACCAAAACTTATACAGATGATTATATAGAGTATTTAATAAAACTTGAAGATAGTTTAGATATAAGATATCAAAAAGATATGTGTCTGATTTGGGGGGGAAAGCAAAATCAAATATTAATTAGAGGAGATTTCTTCACTTAAATAATATAAGATTTTGGTTGCTTGAGAGCTTATAATTTTAGTAAACTAAGATAAGGCATTTTAGAAGTTCAGATATACTAGTCTTTTCGTATTAAAATAAGTTCCAAATGTTTTTAAGATGAGATTACACGTGGATTAATTATACACAGATTAAACAAAGAAAAGATGTGTAGTGTGTAATTCTTTTTTGAACCAAGTTATCGAGTCAGTCTGATTTGTGTAAGGATTTACTTTATATATAACTTATTTTTTAATGGGAAAAAAAGAAAGATTGTCAATCAGTTTTAATAAGAAAGGTCTTTTCCTTAAAAATATTTAAAGAATGAGAATTTTCCTTTTTTTTTTTTTTGGAATTTTGGGGCATGTTGGAATTGTTTAAATCCTTGTAAATTTTTAGAAACCAGTCAGAGCAGCAGAGCTATTCTATAATTTATTATTATCCTCAGGAGGAAGGAAAATATTTACACAAATGCAGTGATTTTTTTTTTTCCTCAAAGACTGTAGCGTAAGTTCTACAGCTTCAACCATACCTTAAAAGTAAACACTGAAACAAATGTCACTCCTGCAGCTCTCAAAAGGTTGGTTGCTTTTCCATTGGGAACAAATTATTTTTCTGATCTGGGACACAAATAGAAACCAAACAAGTTCCAAACAACAGAAGCAACAAACAAATGCATTGTCATCCCTTACCTTAAGAAAGATAGATTCCATTTCTACCTGACAGGTCACCAAGTGGTCAAACCATTAAAAAAAAAAAAAAGACTAGTCATTGCATGCCACCAATGGGGATAACTCTAGTGGTATGCCAACCAGAATTCCTATGCAATTTGACCAAAATTCCCAAGCAAAAACAATGGCACAGAGTCATGAAAAGAAAAGCTGCAGAGAATGTGAGTCAGTGAAGGTAAAGCTCTAGTGTCATTTGAGATTTACTCTGGGAGCCAAGAAAAGATGTTCTGGGCTCCCAGCCTGTGAGATGTACTCCGTGGGCAGTGCAGTTTAATTGGCTCCACAGTCAGTCCACTTTCAAAAAGTAAACACTACTCTTATATAAATATAGAATCAATAGATGCTGCAGACTTATTTAACTCCCTAATGAGGAAAACAAGCAGGGGAGATTTGGTTCACTAAACATGATATCTGCAGTATTTTTAGCTTGATGGTGATTATACACAGTGTTTCATTTGGATCCTTTTTTTTTTTTTTTTTTTAAACATGTTCAATCTTTGTTGAAAACTCAGGGTAATTGTAGTTAGTATTAAAGGTGGAGCTATAATTATGAAACTCCAAGGTTCATGATTAGTGAACAAAGCCTGTTAATGAATTGTAATGATCCATTTTGAGTTGATATTAAATAGCCTCCAACTGCTGTGCTATTTTAGATGTTTATTTTTTCCATTTTTCTTCCTTTTCTCTTCCTCTCTACTGCCAATTCATATTTTTGTCATTAAGCCAGCCATTTTCTGTTTTGTGATTTTAGAAACCAGATACCAAGTCTTGATTAAAAATGTCCTGAAGTAAGGGTTACTAAGTGCAAGGGAGGTCTTGGCAGGGTGCTGAGTGTGTGGAGTGAGTGCCCTTAAGCCCATGGACCTCGCTGCACCCATCTGGGCATCAGTGGTCGTTTTCACTCCCTCATTCTGAGTTCTGTTCTAAGTAGGACTGGGTTGCTGACTCTGGCAAATAAGATGTTTTGTAGGCTAGAAAAATCATTATAAAGTAGAAACATATTCTTTTATTTGCCTTTTTTGATATCTGCATACTTCCCAGTATAGAGGTAGTGATGGGCTACCTAGTACATTATAGTCCAGGCAGCAAAAGTCATTTTTAAACAGAAAAGGAGAAAATGAAAAAAAGCAACCCCTGCTGCTGTTAAGAGTATTCATTTGACAACTGCCAAAAGCATCTGGGTTCTATTATGGAGAACCAATGGATTCCCACAAATTGCATTGTAGCAATCCAGTATTTTCCTTCTGGCTGATGACAGTCATCTGCAGTGCCTTGGCAAATAGCAGTGTCGCCATTTAGAACTATGGAGGGTCACACTTGATACTTATTTCTCAAACATGTAATACGATGCCAGCTCTCATGAGGCACCATGGAATAGGGTTTTCTGGGTTTTTGCAT